CTTTGTGCCTTTTGGGAGTTTTCCTAGTTTTCTCTGCATGAGCTTTAGTCATTCCTTGAGAAACCCTGCCTGTTGGATAAGTGCAGGGACTGTGTGACCTCTTGCTGCCAGAGCCTTGGTTAGAATCACAAGCCTGTTTCGCTTCCCTGGGGCTGCAGAAAAGGAAATACCTAGCCCCAGGATGACTGCCTCTAAAATAGGGAGATCAATAGAATAATGCCATTTACATTTTGGGCTCAAGGTTTCAGTTTGATTACCTCACAGACTTCATTTACATTACACAGGAGAAGGTGGCACAGGCCTAAGAGGACTGATTTGAATGGGGAGCAGGGGAACTTTTTCCAAGGCCAGAGATTGTTCAGAGGCTGCCAAGGACATTTAAGGGGGGGGGGTGTCTATACTCTTAAACACCAGTTTCTGCCACTGCCTGGGAATCAGCCTGCTAGTCACTCACTGTAAGAAATCTGATCTGTGAGACAAGAGGTCAGGGGCCATCTGTGACTCTCACATAGGCAGCAGCCTAGCCAGAGGTTCACTCGGCACCATTGGATCCATCAGCTGGAGCCTAGATACAAGGACCACTGTCTACTAGTCCAGTCTGCCCTCAGAGTCTGCAGATTAGGATAGGAAAGTAGGAAATTGGCTCAGCCACTCCCCAACATTCCCGTCCATCTGGAGGCAGGGGATCAAGGAGCAGCAGACACCAGGAAACCTTTCACCCAAGACTTTTAAGTGGCTAACGGGTGCCTAGACACATTTTGTGAGATAAAGAGTACAGCATTAAGTCAGGGATAAGAGCAAAGCGTATATCTCCTACCTTGCTGTGGTGAGCATCGGGTTCCATGAAATTGACAAAGTTAGAGGCACACAGAGAGTGTGTAAAGGAAGTAAAGCGCATCCTTGCCTCACCCAGAAGCCAGGGCAGCCTGAAAAAGCAGGCTGGAAGTCAGAGAGACAGAGAGAGAGACACTTCTCATGGATACCAAGTTAGGCTGTTGGGGCCTGATTCCAGACACGCAGACCTTTGCGGAGCCACTGAAATGCAGCCTCAGCCTAGACTCTCACAGTTGTCCACGGCTCTCCTCAGTCCTTCGCATCCAAGGAGATGCCTCTGAAAGGGAATCCTGGCCTCCATTCAGGTGACTTTCCCGGCTCCCAAAGGACATTGGGGATCTGCTGAGGGAGACACAGGGGAACCAGTTGCTCAAGACTTTGAGAATGGCAGCTGGGCTAGTCCCACTTAAGTGGCTGATGACTGCCCAACGTTGTGTGTCATAGACGGCTTCCTTCTATAAGGACAGTGAAAGAAAAGGTGGGCTTGGATGCCGATACTCACCTCTGAAGTTATCCAGGACAAGCCCCCAAAGATGATGCCAGGGATCTTGTTTGTGGAGTGGAAGAATGAGCTTCACAAACTCTCAATGTAGGAGAGCAAGGTACAGGCTTTTATTTAGAAATAAAGTGAGAGGAAAGAGCTCCTGGCTCATGCCAGGAGGGGACAAGAGAGCCCTACATCTGTATTTTGATACAAATTTTTTGATATACTGAGAATTACCCCATAAAAAATGTAAAATACCTATAGCATTCCATTGAAAATATATTAAAATCATACCACTGTCGCATTCCATCAGAGTCACCAAATTCCCAAGAGGAATTTGAATTAACTTTCAACATTTATCAAGGTGGCAATGAAGTCCCACATAAAAGCTCACTGTGCAAAGTTTAGTGCTTGGTAAATATTTAAGGAATGAATAAATGAAAAAAAGGGGAAAATAAAATCATGCTTACAGTATGACCTTTTTTAGCCCACACCCTCAAAATATTCTTTGCAATGAAAAAAAAAGCTAAGACCTACTATTTATAATAGCTGAGATATGGAATCAGCCTAAGTGTCCATCAGTAGATTAATGGATAAAGAAAATGTGGTACATATTCACAATCGAGTATTATTCAGCCATAAGAAGAAAACAAATCCTACCATTTGCAACAACATGGATGGAACCAGAGGGTATTATACTCAGTGAAATAATCCAGGTGGAGAAAGACAAGTATCAAATGATTTCACTCATTTGTGGAGTATAGCAACAAAGCAAAACTGAAGGAACAAAACAGCAACAGATGCACAGACTCCAAGAAAGGACTATGGATTACCAAAGGGAAGGTGTTGGGGAGGGTGGGTGGGGGATTAAGGGGCATTATGATTAGCACACATAATGTAGGGGGGTTACAGGGAAGGCAGTACAGCACAGAGAAGACAAGTAGTGACTTTATAGCATTTTTCTATGATGATGGACAGTGGCTGTGGTGTGTCTGTGTGGGGGACTTGATAATATGGCTGAATGTTGTAACCACAGTGTTGCTCATGTGAAGCCATAAGATCATACATATATCAATGATACCTTAATAAAAAAAAGCTAGGTCCTAAAAGCCTATCTAAAATGCAACCTAAAAACCTAGGACCTGCAAGTCACAGAGTGTCTTGTTGACAACAGCTTACTTTGTTCTGTAAACTGACCAAGACACATATTACGATCCAGGTTCCAAGCCAAATTCTGCCTAGCAGATGGGTTACTGACCTCTGCACTTTCTTTTTTTGTAGGGTTCAAATATTTGGGCTTCTCCCATACTTAACTAAGAATATGGTGACATTTACATTTGAAAGCTTTAATTTCCCTGAAATTGATTCTTCCTCCCAAAGGAGATAGATTTCAGAATGAATGTACCCTTTAGGATCTTCACATATATCAGTATGTAAATCACAGGTACACCACTACTGCAAATGTTAAGCAAATGCTACAGATGACAAAACGTCATGATTTCAATCCATATTCACATAATATGCTGAGTAACAACACTTTTCAGTATATAATTTGTCTAAGAAGTATCAACCTCATGATAAAGTTAGTTAGCCAATGGGGAAAACATACCAGATTAGATTAGATTAACAGCACTAACAAATTCATAAGCAGACTATGGTGCTATACTTTGACCATGTGAAATGTGATTGCAGAATAAATGGGATTCATTAATAACTTACCTAGTCAGACAACGTAAGAGACACTAACAAGGACAAGCTGGACATTTAAAAAAATCATGTGGTCCACTATGCACTATTTTGATATGCTCCTAAAAATAAGCTTGAGTGGTTGCTTTTTTCTTTATTTTCTTTATTTAAATTGTGTGAGTTATCTTTAATTTAGCTAATCAACTTCTACAAATGACAATAGTTCATCTTACTATAACAGTTTGCTACTGGCACAGACTAGGTATATTGAAACTAATTACCTTGGTAATTGATCTCTTCATTATTCCTTACAAAACAAAAAAACCATAGGGTGTCCTTCATGACCAGCGATGCTTGAACAGTAGTTCAAAGCCAAAGAAGATTTTATATCATCATAAAGTCAAAGTCTTCAATAAATCCTGGGTTCTTTTCATCACCACCTCTAAAATACAAAACCCTTAAAGAAGGGTAGGCCTTGGGAAACAGGTCCAATCTAAGGTGTTCTGAGGGTCTAATCTCATAAGAGATTGAGTTTGGCAGATCCCATAACTCTTCCCCTCAGGAATTACTCTAGTTTATTCGTGTTGGAGGGGAGTAGAGTTACCTTTGGCTCTTAGAACATTTAAATCACCCTGTCCTTTTTATTGGCCCACTGCCTTACAGGTCATTTAACTTTCTTGTTACTAAGCTTCTAGTTTCCCGTCATTAAAATAGGGAGATGTCTAACCTGCTTTACCCACTTTTTGATGATGCTGTCATTGTTTAAAAGATTTGCAAAAGGAAATCTGTAAGTATATTTTCTACTACTAGGAGGGATATCAAATATTCTTAACAACACATTATTGAATGATATTGTCAAAGGAGTTTTGGAGTTAGATTCGGGTTTTAATACAAGCTTTGTCATTTATTTCTTGTGTAACCTTGGACACTTAATCTCTCTGAACCTGAGTCTCTTGACCTGCAAAAATGAACCTAATTAGTTCATTCTTGTAGGGTCTTTAGTGAGGATTAAATAACATATACAAAAGTAGTTGGCACAGAATAGATATTAAGTGTTAGTTTCATTTCATTCATTTTAATCCAGAAGAGTTAAGTTGAAGTCCATGCCCTTAGTTTGCTACTTATTAACTATAGCAAGTAACCTCAGGGAAGTCACTTTGCTGAAAACCTAGTTTTCTCATCACTAGAATTAAATTTCTGTGAGGATTAAATAGAACTGTATATTAAAATGTACCTCCAGATAGCATGCTAAGCAAGTCTTGCACACAGCAATGGTATGGTTCATAAGACTTATTCCTATCCCTGCTCCCTTGTATCTCCATAGGAGCATCCAATATTATACTATATGCTGTGGGGGAAACAAGGGAGACATAAAACAATATCCCTGCCTTCAAAGAAAATGGGATAATCAAATGAGAAACTTGCTAGTTTGGAGATAAGGAGGAAGTCACTCCTAGGTTGGGAAATGACATGAACACAAGTAGTGAGGGCAGAAATCAGCATACTTTACCTGTAGACTGTTAATGAATTGCTGTAAATGTAGTTAAGTGAGAGACGCAATTAAATGGGAGGATGGAAAGGTCAGATCACAAAGCCAGGCAAAGGGATCCAAATTTGGTAGAAGAGCAATTGGGAGTTACTGCAAGTTCCCAAGTAAGTCCCCAAGTGACATTATTAAAGAAGAATTTTCAGGATGATTGTTCTAGCTAAGTAGAGATGGGAGAAGGGACCTCAAAAGGAACAAAGGCTGAATGGTTATATCTCCTCTGAAGCATCAGTAATGTCTCAGCTGCTTCCAGAACACCTGAAAACAAGTTGGTAACAATTGCAAAGGAGAGAGAAAAGGCTGGGGAAGGATCATTTTAGTCTCTGTCCACCTAGGAAAGCACAAGCCACAGACAACAACCAAGTGCCTCTCCTAGTGCTTTGCAAAGGAAGATGATTTCTATGAACTCAGGAGAGTTTTAAAGAAAGAGAGAAAATACACCATGCTTACCTCATTGCTACATTACTTCCATCAATGACAACAGGCCTCAAATTGTCAATATTTTCTATTTCACCTTCAAGAGACAGTTCAGGGTTTATAATCTCTCTGGAATTGGGCCCCCGAGGCACTAACAGACTCAAGTTGACCTGTCCTTCTGTATCACCTTTGTTCCCAAGTCTTACAAGTTCTGCCAATACATCATTAATAAGTGATTCTGGGCCCAACTTGTTCAGCACTGATTGAATCTGTTCCTCTGCATAGCCCAACTTTAGAGCAAAATCCATCTTGGCTTGATATTCCTTTTCCAAGTCAAGCTTCCCATACTGCAAAATGCTGCTCTGGGAGAAGCTTGGACAATCTAGGCAAGGTGATCTACAGAGCTGGCGGTGTGACTTGGAGGGAATCACATCTTTCTTTAACTGAGAAACCCCAGGTTGACAGCTGTCTTCATTGTGGTTACCACTCATAAGGCTCATTTGTTCAGGGTCACTCTCAGAGCTCATCCACTCTTCAGAATCAGCTTTGCCCTGCTCTGTGCTGTCCTGCTTAGGCTGCTGTTTCTCTTCCTTGGAGGTACTCTTCTCCATTTTTGGTGTCTTCACTGTAGCTGTAGCCGTCATCCCGTTCAGGACAGTCTGAAGTCTAGTCAACTATTTTTATTTTTAATCTGCTTGGAGTCCATGTGCAGTGGCATTCCTTTGTGGTAAAATGTGGTGGTAGTGATGGTGCAAGATTTTGCCTGTTTGGTTGGATATGTTCAGATGTTATCAGTTTCTACAAGTAAACACACATACCATAATCATGTTTAGTGAAGTTCTGGAAAAGCATTGTAAAACACAAGGTTTCTTCATAAGAAACTACAGGTTGTCCGACATTTTATTTTTCTGCTTAAAATGTTTGGACTCACCTTATATTAAAAAATAAAGTCTCTAATTCTCTAATAATTCTAAAAATAAAAATTTCAGGGATAGCAAAAACGCTCTAATTCCCACACAGATAGAAAAATCACAGCTAAAATTAACTGCATACTGAAACAACTTTGAAAAACAGGAACATAGCTTTTCAACAAGGTGCAAGAATATATACATCCTTGAAAGAATTCTATTTATTTCTGTCAGGTAAGCTTTTCCATGTTCTGCAGTTGATCCTTCTTGCTAAGGTTGAGCTACACCCCTAAAGAGCACAACCTCTTCAGTACTACACTCTTTGTCAGATATCAACGACAACATCTACTGGGGTGACTAAAAAATCATTAAAATTGCTTTCAAGCAATTGAAGCAGGCAATAAGAATGACAGAGAGGTGTGCTCCAGATAAGGAAAGAGGTTTGTGCACACTCATGAATTGTATCTGCAGCCTCTTTTATTTGCTGCAATTATATTTATTGTATTGTAAAACAGGCAAACATCAACTCAGTTTGCATGAGAAACCAGAACATTTTAAAAAGAATATTTACAGAAAAGAATTAAGGACTATTAAATTTCTAAACTCCTCATCTCACCTCCTTCATCTGTCCCTGCAGTTCTGAGTTCTAACCTGGCCAAATTGTTTCCTTTAATTTGAGCCTTGGTTTCCCCACATGTAAAATGAGGTCACTGATAGTTATCTTATAGGGCAGAGATTAAATAATATAAGTAGAGAAAGTCTTTAGAAAAGTGTACAGAACATAGTAGGTTCTCGATATATGTAAAGAGTGCAACAGACACCACTAGGAATTTGGTTTAAAACAAAAGAAGACTGACAGGCAAGGCTGTAGACACGTGAACACTGACATGCTTTTCAGATAGCAGGTGTGCTCACTAATCTAAAACCAGACTATCTATGTAACCAGTGTACTAATATTTTCCAGTTACTTCAATCCTATTTATACAGACAGGAGAAAAAAATAACCAACATCTCTATCTAAGCATGGATAATGGCATGCTTATGTTAAAAGTGTCACATTTGGAAACATCATATGCACACATAATTGACTTCTCAGAACTGACATTCAGATAGCATATAATTATTTCTCTAATGATTGTGCTACCACTTCTGACTTCAAATTTTCCCTTAATAAATTAGCCAACACATAGCCATTTTACTTTCACTTTTCCATTAATCTTTGTTATTCAAATTTTAAAGCTTATTTCCTCTATAAATTCCACATTTACTATCTGACTTTCATTTTATTTCCTCCAAAATAATTTCTAGTGAACACATGACATCAAGATTTTCCCCCTGCACTTATTTAAAGCTCCAAAATCACTTAAATGCAACTGTTTATAAGACTAACTGCATACTTTATTGGCAAATGGAAGGTATATGTAGAAGACAAGTTTAGCTAAGGACCACAGAATGTTTTACTCTTCTACTCTTTGATATCTGACTCTATTAAAATTGACGTTGGTGTGAGCACCTTTACCATATTCATGTACACATATTATAGCAAATTTAAACTCAGGGAAAATCCCACAACATAGTAAGCACTCATTGAAATTACTAGTTATTATTGTGAATGCTTCCTGCTCAATAACCTCAAGGTAGAAAAGAAATAGATGACCTTGTAAACATAAACTTGGATTTACCTTTCAAAGTCTTAAGCAAGATTTTAATAAAAAGGTTTGTTGTCTGTCCTAAAATGTATGCAGGTGTGTAGGTGTCATGTGTTTTTTGTGTTTGTTTTGTTTTGCTTTACAATGCAAACTTCTTTGCAATGGCAGGAATGTCTTTTCACTGAAAAGAACAGTCACTGAGTGTCAGACACTATGATAAGCCCTAGGTCTAGGAAGGTAAAGCTGAAATAATCCTGTCCTCAAAGAATTTGGAAACTAAAAAAAAAAGTTGGCTAAAACAAGCCGAGAAAGAGAAATACCAAATGATTTCACTCATCTGAGGAGTATAAGAACAAAGGAAAAACCAAAGGAACAAAACAGCAGCGGAATTACAGAACCCAAAAATGGACTAACAGGTACCAAAGGGAAAGGAACTGGGGAGGATGGGTGGGCAGGGAGGGATAAGGGGGGGGAAGAAGAAGGGGGGTATTAAGATTAGCATGCATGGGGGGGAGGGAGAAAGGGGAGGGTGGGCTGCACAACACAGAGAGGACAAGTAGTGACTCTACAACATTTTGCTAAGCTGATGGACAGTAACCGTAATGTGGTTGTTAGGGGGGACCTGATATAGGGGAGAGCATAGTAAACATAGTATTCTTCAGGTAAGTGTAGATTAAAAATTTAAAAAAAAAAAAGAAAGAAAGAAAGAAAAGGGGGATTACTCCTTAACAGGATAAAACTATTGGTAAATCAAAGATCAACACATGCTTTAAATATCCTTAATGTTGATCACTTAAAGGGTGTCAGATGATCAGCTATGGAGGTACTCTTTTCTGATAATATTCCTTTCTCTTAATTAAAAAAAAAAAAAAAAAGCAGTTACTGTGTGCTGACCTCCAATGAGTTCTGCACAGTGGTATAGAGGGCATGTCAAAGTGTGGGCAAAGGGTCTGTTTGTTTCTACGCAGAAGATCAAGGCCTAGCTTGGATACCCAGAAAATGAACTAAGATACGATATGAGGAGGAGCTTCCGGCATCAGCACTCTCTGGAGGACTCGTGCCGGGGGATGATCATCAAAAAGCCTCCACAGGGATCCGGACGATGCTGCGGTTGTGGCTGCATCCAGCCCACCGTCTCCTGGACTTGCCATAAGAAGGAGGAGGGAGATGTCTAGGCTGGCATGTGCATACAGTGAGACAACGAATTTGACTGGATCTGTACTGTTGGAACTCAACCAGGAGTTGGGAGGGGTGCAAGTTGTAGCACCCCAAAATCTCATGACTATAGACTATCTATGGTTAAAAGAACATATGGGATGTGAACAGATCCCAGAAATGGGCTGCTTTAATTTGTCTGATGGTTCAAGTACAGTTGGACAATATCCATCATATCATAGATAAATTTTCACAAATGCCTAGGGTGCCTAAATGGTTTTCTTGGCTTCACTGGAGATGGCTGGTAATTATAGATTTGCTTTGTTTATGTCACCGTATTCCTATTATGTTAATATGTGTGTGCAAATTAGTTAGTAGTTTAAAACCTATACATACTTAAGGTACTATACAAGAAGATATGTCAAAGAAATAATCAATCCTCCCAAGTTTCCTTCATATGCTACATCTATAGCTTTTCTTCTTCCTTCCTAATTACAACCCTTAAATAGAATTCGTGCCTCATATCGAATTTACCGAGTATCATAATTCCTCCAGGTGGTAAAGATACCTCGAGACAAGTGCTGGGCATAGAAGCCACAGGGCATAAATCTGCAAAGAAGTAAAAAGCTAACCTTTGCAAACAATATGGCTTCTCTCTCACTTACCAACTTTACATTTCCCTGTATGGCCCCGGAAGATGACTGGTTAGCCAGAGACGGGTAAGATTCCTCAAGGGAGGAACAACCTAAGACAGGCACAGTCGCAGGGGGGCCATCAGGTGAGAATTTGGGGATCAACAGAGGTGAGGCTCAGAACCTCACCCCCCCTGTTTTGAGAGAAATCTTCTGCATCCGTGGATGTTTTGCTGCCCTTGTCTAGCTTGGATTAATACTTAGTCCATAGGCACACACCTGATCATCTACATTTGCCCTCTTACAGCACTAAACTATGTTTTCTACCTTTATCTTGCATCTACCTACCACTTCAGGGAGAAATGTGGGATCCACATATAAATCAAGTATAAAAATCAAACGAATATTCATATTTGACCTGATTGTTTATAGTTCATAATGTGTGATCAAAACCAAAAGTTTCTGTGATGAATGCCCTTGTACTGTTCACCATGTAAGAACTTATTCACTATGTAAGAATTCGTTCACCATGTAAGAACTTGTTCGTTATGCTTCAGAAGATTGGAGACTGAAGAGAACTAGGCTTGAGATGGACTAATGACTGTGCATTGAGCATTGACCCCCCTATAGAGAATTTTATTGTTGTTAACAACCATTTGATCAATAAATATGAGAGATGCCCTCTCAAAAAAAAAAAGTTGGCTAAAAGTGGCTTTAGGAAGTGCTGAAACAAACTTCTATAGAGGGTGACCATTTTAATTACAGTCTAAACTGGAACACTTTTGACAATGAAAGAAGCATTATTAACAATTATGTCAGAACAATAAGCATTAACTAGGGATGTACCAGGCAAACCTGAATGTACAGTTGGTCCTTCAAGTAACATGAAAATTTGTGTTGACATATAGAAGAGGAAATTTTTAATTCTGTCAGTGGTGTGAGAAATAGGGATAGTGGCTAAAGAGATTAGGAAATAATTTAAGGATATAATATTTGAAGTTATTTTCTGATTAATTACTAAATAAGCATTTACTTAGTACTATGTTCCAGGAAGCATGTTAGGCACTGCAGATATAAAAACAGACACAGATCATGATCTCTAGGGGCTTATAGTGGTAGTGGGTAGTGGAGACAAACCACAATCAAATAATTATATAATTCATAATTACAAACTGTAACAAGTGATTCAATGTTAAAAAATATAGGGAGCTATGAGTTGAGGCTTAAAGGAAAGCAACAATTTGTAGGTCAGGGAAGAGGTTTTAAAATTATAGATATATGAACATTAATATATTGTGCTTAATTAACACTTCATGTCTAATATTAATGGTGAGGAGTGATAAATCAAAGCATTGAGGATGGCTAAAGGAAAATAGTTACTTTGGCCCAAAAAGGAATGTGAGTGGGAAAAAAGTTGTTCTACTCTCTATTTATGACCAGTGTTGCTAAGAGTT